GTTCTGTCAGCCCTAACTGCTTGCCATCTACCACATAGAAAGTTACCAATTCAGATGAGCACTGTGGCAGGAAACTCTGAAGGGCTCTTCCGGTAAGTTCACGCTGCACGCTTTCTCAAATGTCTTACTGAATTCTACGAGCCCGGCTTCTCTTTGCAGTCTACAGTCACAGTCTACAACCGGTTTCTCTCTCTCTATCCTTAAGTGGATCTTTTCAAAGGGAGTGTCCAGTACGAAAACTGTATTGCATTGGTGGCAGTATAATATGTAGTTCGATGCTCTTGAGAATATTATCGCGGCTCGTTTTCAAACCCTAATATCCATTCCGGTTAGGCCTACGAGGAGATAGCTAGCCACCAACTGACGACCACCAATCTGAGGACATAAGCAGTCGCTATAGATAAGCGAGCCTGATACAGCGAAATATAAGGATTAATGACGTACGCGGTAGCGATGTACGCCAGCAGATGTAGCAATTGGGGATGCAGCTCATCGCGATCCAGAGATTTTCAAGGTCTGAGATACCTGAGAGGCTGGAAGACTGTATTCTTTGTTATGTGCACGGTCTCAATTGGTGGGGCAGTGGTGACACCACGGCCACCATGATTTAGAGAAGCTTAGCTGAAACAATCCAATCGGCATTTAACCTTGGACAAATTAGGTTCCGCCACACAATCAGACTTCATCTACCACCTGGGGGGGGATCCCACATTTTCTACTGGTCTTTGTGATGAGTGCGAGCAGTCATCTGGGTCATTTCTGGCTACCATTTACAGGCTATTTCTGGCAAGACATTAGAGACCGCACAATTAATGTCTTGCGCGTACTCTAGGCATCGCAGTATCCAGTTTTAGACGCTTTCAGTCCAGGTCCCGTGAACAAGTTATGTAAAGGTTTCCCACGTCCCAAGAGTAGTTGAGTATATTTATCAAACCATAGGTACCGACGTGAGGATCTTTGTAGGGTCAACCATGGGATAAATGGGCTTCTTACCCTTCAGACACGGTGTTAAACCCCTCACAGACCCTCTCAACTCGTGAGTTCCCATTGGTAGTTTAATCCTTACCGACTGAGTACTTGTAAATACTTGCACTTTCTTCCATTGCACAGAATTAAGATGTCAGGAATACAAGAAAGGGGCAAAATGATAAAAATTAACCCTCTTCTTTCAAGTTTGTAGGAACCAGGAATAAAAGCGTATTATTGCAGACTATCGAAGCTTTCAGAGGCACTGTTACAGGACCTATGGTACCGCCGTTCACTGCTTTCACAGAAGTCTACCAGAAAGTCAGCCGTGGAACTAAGGAGGAGGGCATATTTTGAAAGACTGAAACGGCCAAACCTATTCGTTCTGGGCTACTGCAGAAAAAGAGGCCTGGCCACATTATGGCCTACGAGGTCATCCATCAGGCAAACCACGCAAACAAACTAGCCGTGTGCGCAACGTGGCGGTCATTACGCGGGAACTTCATCAGGATGGCGCATCAGAAAGCTAACGCTAGGCTTAGGTGTGACGTTTGTTCCTTAAAATCATGTACTTTGTCGAATACCTTTCCACAGAATTTAGTCGTAGCCCCCTCAATCAAAAGAGGGTCAGGTAGTCATTTCATTTCGCTTGGTTTACTACAGACTTACTCAGGGGAATTACTGACCTCACTAGCCCATTGTTACTTCCTTTCTACCTACCACTTGCTACCTCTCTTGTTGATACACCTCCATTACCTACTAACTCTTCTCTAGCAACCAGACCCGTGCTATCTCCTTTTACCTTCCGGGTAATTACCGCATACTTTTTCTGTCTTGCTATTCCTATACAGGCAACTGCATAGATGAGAGTCACAAAAGACCCCTAATCTTAACAGCTAACCGTAGCTTCATAATCACCACTATTCGCAACTACTAACACACAGAACATTCACCTCACAGAAGCTAAAAACAGGAAATAAGGAGAGATTTCCTTGTCCGCTGCCGGGGGGAAATTTAACAACACACACCAAGGCCCTAAAACTAAATGGGGTGAGATGAAATATATCAGTCTTCCACGCTCGCACTAACAATGTTGGATGTTGTTGGAGGTTCTATAAACGATATTTGAGGTATGAAGACCGCTCATATGCCTAGTGTGGTAGTTTTGAAGACGTTGCTACAACGCGTTGGTTGTACTTATTTTGTAACTACACATTTCATTTATTCTCAGACTCATCGTACACTTTCATCTATAACTTTTTCAACTGTATGGATGTGTATATACTGCGCTTACTGGTTTGACAAGACCAGCGTTCCTCAAAGTTATTAATGAAAGTCTTCCATGCCTAAAGGTTTGGCGTTTTGGGAGCTGATATAACGTTCCAAGACAGTCGAGTGTTGAAGTATCGTAACTCTTACTAATTCAATTACTTAACAAAGGGCACTTAAGTCGAAAATCTTGACATTTCTTTTTCTGACGTTTCCGACTGAACTACTTGGGTTTTGAATTTCCGTAACTAAAAAGTTGGGAATATGGAGAAAACGTAGTCATTTCAGAGCCGTGTCATACAGCAGCGAGCAGTTAGCATGTTTTATATAGTTGAGAGCTGTTGAGGATAGGGGATTATTACCCCTTACGAGGTTCTAGGCATTAGTTGTAAAACCCCACATACTTTGTTGATGTGTTGAAAATGAGCGGTGTCTATGCGTACCACTAAGAGTAACTTCGGCCCATTTTTAGATACCAACGAAGTATAATCATCCCTCACAGCACTTAAGAATTATAATTAACAGTATATCTGTTAGTCTTCAATATGTACACTTTCTTGGGTTGAACTGAAAACGTGTCCTAGTTGAGTATTTTTAGGTCTTTTTCGAAGCGTTATCAAATTTGTTTGTTAGTCCACGGAAGTGTGTACCATTCGAGTTTAAGATCGTCTTCATGTAACAGATTAAAACTGTGTCGAGCAAGCTCATTTGTTCTTGTGAATGGCAAATATTATTGGACCAAAAACTAAAATGCGCCACTTTACCATCGGCAACCCTCTAGACAATGAACAGAATTCGATATAACTAAAGTTCTTATTAACTGTTCGAGCGCGTTCACATACTGATATTTCTTGCAAGCAAATAGATTTACTACCTATTTTAGAAAGATCAGATAACCCAGAGTGAACGAATTTATTCTGTTCTACAAAGGGAATCCAGCTATTTCAAGTTATTTACAAGTTGGTTTTGCAAGACTTGACAAGTGGAAAATTGTTCAGTCACTTAGCATAAGTGACCTTAAAGGCCACCCCAACAACTAATATAACCAGTCAGACTTTTCTAATTTATGAAAATTTGCCTTTGCAGCAGAAATGAAGAAACTTAATTGGTTGTTTCGTTTGTTGCTAGGGTAGCCTTTAAAGTCACCTGTTAGGATCGAGCTCCTGATCAAATAAGTGCTAAGCAAACCATTCACTACCCGTTCGCTGACATTTGCAAGCACAGAAACCGAACTAATTAATGACCTCATTTTGTACAACGTTGGCTACCTCTTCTTTCCAGTCACCGAAAAAAGGAATCCTAAAAACGGACTTCTAACAAGGTTTGCTAGTGAGACGTACAAAACACCAATACACTCTTTGACGACTTTCAGGTGAATGTCGTCGATGTACACAATATTATTAGGATGTGCGCCCCTTTAAACCTCAATGAATTTTGAAAGCTCAGGTTCTACGTAGCCTAGCCCCTCAGGGATTGGGATATCACACTGTTGTGAATGAAGTGTTCCTCCTGCTTGCGACTAGTTTTTTCGGGGTGTCGATGCTTCACTGCTACTGTACGACGAGTCGTAAAGCCGTTTGGGTCGTATGTGCTAAGAGGTAATTCTTTTCCAAAGTCCTACGCAAAATACCGAGTAGCTTAACACGTCTCCTCTTGTTTATGCTCCATCCCTATCCTAAATTCCCCTTCAAAGGATCTGGTCATTATTGATTCTGGTTGCCCTACACTGACTCCAAGCTGATCGCTATCGCTATATAGCCCCATGATAGCTGTTCCTGGTCTAGGAACGATGCATCTTTTAACGAAGGCATAGTTAACATCGATGTGTTTTTGCCAGACGTTTGAGGTAAAATGTACATCATCAGTTCTAACTTCGGACATCAACTAAATCTCTATAGCTGTGCCATGTACTGCATTTTAGATTTCATCTGACCCTTACAACTTAAGTTTTCCAATAATTAGTGAATGGTGGTTTTTCACACATTGAGATATGGGCACTAACAGGCCTCTGATCACTGCATCCAAACAGAGTAGATACTCCAACGACCTGCTTGGATAGAGTAGACTGACGCAAAGAAACAGGTAAACATAAAAGGAAAACCGAGCAGATAAGTGTATCAGTCCAAGTTGTGTGTGCCGCATGTACGAACACATTTAAGTAGAATCTGTCATCATATCCATGGCTACTTGGGCCGATGCTCCTGTGTGCTAGGTTGTACGTTGATTTTGTCAGTCAGTCATCCATAGGAAATACAAATATAGTGGTAAACCCGCTCTTTAAAGATTCTGAAGAACGAAACGAGGAAAAGAGAAAGAAAAGGCAGAAGTTAAATAAAGAAGCAACACAAGCGGAATGCAGACTATTTGTGTGAACTGTGTTTAATACCAGGTTTTCATATTTTATCAAGAATCATCGCAATTTTCCACTAAACAATTTCACTAGACCGAGTTTGTGTTCTTTTTACAGTCACACTTCACAACAGCATTCAAAGGAAAAATGAACAGAGGGTGTGATACTGATCTGAACAGAATTACTTGAAAGTTAGCTATGAGTCTGGTCAACATGGTAGTATCATTAGTCCTTACACGATAGGTATGACTTGCCTAATGCACAGACGTGCTTCTGGTCTCTGAGTGCATTTCAATTTTTGTTTCTTCACAAAATGCTTTCCTATTTAGTAGTACAGCTGCACTTTATTATCCTGAGTTTTTGATTGGTAATTTTACACTACTTCATCCAATTTATTTTTGCCAGATCTTCTGTTATGAATCCTTCGGAATCATGTCTCGATTCCTCATGTTGTACATCACGCAAAGGTGTCAGCAATCCTATGAGGTTTTTAATCAACCAAGACTTGATAAAAAGATCTCATAACCAAGAGACAGACTGTATTCAGCGTATCGTCGTTTATGATCACTCAGAATTTGAATCTAGTATGTTTTTCTTCTTGTTTAGTTTCTAATTTTAAGGCGTTGTTAGACAAGCTAATGATGCTTTCAAGAAACATAATAATCTTCAAGTCAATACGGTTAGAGACAGACTTTCTGCTTTGGATGATGACATTATGTATGTTTAGATTGAAGTGAATTCACCTTGCAGATCTGCTCGAAAGGAACTGGAAGAAATGGAAAAATTACTAGATAATTTACTCAGTGAACTATCAACCGAAGCTCCTACCAACCGTTCGGAAAATAGAAAAATACGGTCATTGGAACTGGAGATAGAAACAAAGGTAGGATTACATGGGTTCGAAATGTGTTTTAATTTCTTAATTCTTTTAGATGAAGCACATTGATACTTTAACGTCTAGGAAAGCCGCTTTGATGACCAAACTGTCCACCTTAGAAAAGGCAACTTCGATTCATGAAAGCAATTTCTGTGGTAGGTATTTAGGAACTTTTTTGATGTTGTAGAGGGATATTTTAAATTCATTAAGCATTGACATGTTCCACCGTTCAAATGTAAATGTAATCAAGGAATTTAAATTATACCTTCTCATACGCACTATTCTCTTAATTAGAAACATTATTGTGGTACGTGTATTTCCCAGTAAATAAAAAACAAAACAAGGATGTTTTCCTTCAATTGGAAATACAAATTCCAAGTAATGAATGCTGTCCACCCAACGCCCAAGCTTCCAAAACCAGCAAATCCCAACTTGGTTTAGATATCTACAAACCAATTTCTTTTTTATTATGCAGACCTTTTTATGCAATTATTTTTCTAAATTTTTTTTCATCACGGTTATAATACTATACTTCACCAGATAGTATAAGTTCTTTTTCGCTTTACTGTTTTCTACTACGCACAGGGTACTATAAAGGCAAAACAAAATAAGTGGTAAAGGAAAGCGGAGTGAAACAATTCCAGATTACGGGTGATTAAAAATTTGTGTCACTTAGGGTGGTAACGTTTAACTTGGTAAGTAGTTAACCGGGAGAATTTTATCACGTGTACCAATTAGGTAGAGTAATTAATCATCGCACAAACAATGAACAGTGTGGAAGCCGTTAGGACGACATGCTTAATTCATGTCTAAGCCACCGAAGCCGGTGTTTCCAAGTGACTTCACTCATTAAGTGACGATCTCCGTCATACCCAAACACACGGCGTCGTACCTCAGGATTGCTTATATGGTGCTGCCACTGGATACGAGCAGTCCTACGAAGACAACTATGATCCAACACACAAAGTCGGAGTACGTCCCCAGCTAAAAGAGGCCAGATTTCACGGAAGAGCAGAATTTCTCACACAGAATTTCTCAAAGCGTTGTAAACCCGATCTTTCACGAATAGATTAACGTCACGACGGCTCCAAGGGTGGCTCAGATTGACGTATGCCACTGTGGCTGTCGATATTAGATTGCGAATTTCACCAAATCACCAGCGCTCACATAACTACCCAGATACACGAACTCTTCGATGACTTCCAACGACCCACTACCAAGGCTGAGCACAGACACCGGCTCCTTCCGATCTTGCAAAAGTACTTTACACTTCAGTGGGGCGAAGCACTAACATTCTTACGAACCGGTAACTTCTACCTTGACATGGTGGTCGGGCTCGCCTATAACAATGACGCAACAAGCCATGCTGATGGGACGCTTGTTCCCTCTAGATCCTACCATATCAGTAAGATCTGTTAGATAGTGATTAGACAAAAAGCAGTTACCATTATAGTGTAAATTGCTACGATATGATGGGGTTGTGAGGGCGAAATCGTACTGCTGACTGGATGGGTGTGTGTGTGTGCGTGACAGCATTAGGGTGTTTTCGTTAGATAACCAGCGGTACCACTCTATTGCTGCCTTTCTTATGGGAATTGGAGGGGGGGGGGGCGAAGATAAAAGGTCGGCCTCCGAAAGAAGACACTCCCATATGTTTGTGTCATCCCGATGCCTGTAACAGAGATTAATAGTCGGATTCGAAAGCAGAAACCGAAATGTCAAACTTGCCAATAGACTGTGCGTGGTCGGCTTCAAGCACATTGGGCTCCGTCTCCACGCGCAAACGCTTCTTTTTCAGATATTTCAAGATGAGCTAGCCTCCCACGGTGTGGCCAACTGGGACCTGTCAAATGCCCATAGGCTTTGAGTGGTACACAAGACCTACTTAAACATAACCTATCGTCCTCAACTCTGTCTCCTTCTTTACCTTCACCTAATGCTAATATAGAGTCCTTATACGTTCCCCAACCTCTTATTTTGCGACCACTACCAACGACCAAAGTCATGGAAACCTCATTCTTATTCTTCTTAGACCCTGGCATCGATTTCATGTAGGAGCCTTCAACGTCCGAACTCTATGCCAAATCCGACAGAAAGCACCCCTTGCCATAACTCTGGAACCTCTAGTAATGGTTGTATGGTGTGTTTCTACGATACGTATACAAACCCGAGTGTGGCTATTAAGTTGATTGAATCATTAAAATCTACCTTACAGGTACCGGGTGACCCGAAGGCTTACTCTTGTAGATTCTTTAATGTAGGCGTAGCATTGAGGTGTAGCGGAGAAGGTGCGCTTCTCGGCTGGATACCAGTGAAGAGCTGTTCATCTGCCGTTCGACTGAAGGGATCTGCAAGAAATAGGAAGGATCGTGAGACCAGCCGATATGTATTAGTTATCTCCGCATTTGCACCCGTCGACTACAGTTCTCATGATGCAAGCGACGAGTTCTAGAAGCCTGTCAGTTTTGCTACAGAACGCAAAACGTTCAAATGTAGTCATAGTGGCAGGTGACTTTAACGTTCAAGTAGGAAAGGTGAGCTGAGTCGTCAATCGAGAAGGCCTCTGGAGGGTGTTTACGGAATCCCATGCCAACGAACCGACAACAGAAATGGTCTTGTGCAGTTTTATTCCGACAATCGCTTGTTTCTGGAGAGCACAAGGAGATGCACTATCACATAGCATCTATCTACATCAAACCACAGATGTACACAGATAGGTCACATTTCTATGAGCCAGACATTGTTGAAGGATTGCTGCTCTTTCTGGAGTACCAGTTCGAACTCTGATCAAACGCTAGTATGGGCTTATGTATGTCTGCTCCTTACTGGTTGCAGGAAACAGGCGATAGTAAAGCCTGCATATGCTCGATTGAAAGATGAGAACGCCAAATATGTTTTTTGGTAGGAGTTGGCTAAACCTTTATCTAAATATAGCAACCATGATCATTCTGAGGAAAACTAGAATTACAAAAAGTCTGATATTAACGTATGAGTAAAGACGATTAGCAACCTATACGTGAAGGTTAAAAAAGCTCATTGGACTGCCGCGATGTCATCCTAACTGATTGACTCGGGAAGACTGATTCCATCTGGCTTTGAACACGATGAAGAACACAAGCAACTGAAACATAAGCAACCAAGAATTTCCGAATTGATCGTCGGGAGTGGTGGGCCGCGAAAGCGAGAGAGGTGGAGAAGGCATCTGTGTTGGGTAACAATCTATTCGGGCCTATCAAGAATATCAGCAAGAAGTAAACGATGGTTAGTGAAACTGCCACCAGAAAGGATGGTACCATGATAATCTCGCACGGTAGACAGCAAGAACATTGAGCAGGACACTGAAGCACAGTTTAACTGTCCCTAAACAACCCTATCATCCAGCCTGAATCTGAATCGGACATAGATGCCCGTCCTCTAAATCTCATCGAAATTAAGAAGGCTGTAACAAAACCGAAACGATGCAAAGCAGCATTTAACTCTATCGACAATGAGGTGTTGTGGCAGTATCAGACTATGCAGGAAGTACTGACCAAGTATACAATGCTTACCAAAGTTTTCTACTCGAACTCACGCTGGCATGTAGGTGCTTATGTAGAGTCGTGATGTGAACTGACGACAACTGGAGGTGCCCGCCAGGGATTCTCACTGTCACCGATCTTATTTACTTTCGTTATAGACGTACTAATACATGCATTTCGCACCTGTCAAATGTAATATGACGCCTCAGGACTAGTGTGCAGTTACTTTCAATTTGAGGATAGGGATTGAAGTGTAACAGTGGGTTGACCAGTTCACTTATTTGGGGAGTTGCATCAGCCCACCGAACGGGCTGTTTGTTGACGAAATCTCATATCCGATAAAGAAGGCTTGTTTAGCATTTGCCAACTGGCGTCATCTGGGGCGCCGACTGGCGAGATATCCAACTCTACCTGTCGAAGGACGAGTGTACTGTGCTGCAATCCGTTCATAAGGTTGCCAGAAATAACCGTTGAAAGTAGATGTGAAACAGTTTCAGTTTTTGACGACAAGTGTTTTCGTAGCATTGCTCACGTATGGTGGAATCACGGTGTGAGCGATGTTGGGGTTAGGCGGAGGGCACTGGACAAGGAAGGAAAGTGAGGCAATGAGGTTGTGGACCTCCACCAACTCAGGTGGTTTGGACATGTGTTGTGCATGCTGAGCCACCACCTACCTGGATGTGGAATGTCAGTTGAAGTAGTATTTGGTTAGAAGACGGTTCAGGGTTGCGGAACCAAGACGTGGTACCAATCTATGAAGTCGCTGAATGCTTGTCTAAGCATTGTTTGGAGGTGTAGACTACCTGTCAGAGTCTGTGAAACTATAGGAATCAGCGGTTCAAAACTTTCGGTGACATGGCTGAACATCGGTTGTAGTGGGGCAGATGTATTCACTCTTTGGCATCTTCTGATGTTTGAATGCTTGTTTTAACCTTTGTCTTTAAATTATTTATTCTTCCTCACAACTTTGTCTACTTTGATGTGACTCCTCCTATCCGCCTCTTCTTTGTATTCTACTGTGAATTGTTGGAGGTGGCACCGATGCATTTGTATGCGAGGTTTAACGTTGATTCTCTATCTTCTGTTTGCGAAAATTTCTGGGCTGTGCTTGAGCATATTGGTGGTCATTTCGTGATTTATGTTTGCACTGTTTGAAGTGTCTTGAGCACTTTTCACATATGGCTTCTGCAAGGATTCCGTACCGGTTAGTGTTGCCTGGTTTAGAAGGAGCCTAAAAGTATTCATTTCGTGACATAGCTCTTTGGAATGAGTGACAGTTGTGTTGAGTTTATATTTGGTGATGTATTACAACACCCTACTGTAGTACAATGCATCATATGAATTGGTGTCTCTAGGTGTTACGAAGTACGGTTCCGGATTAAAGTTATTGCTGATCGCATAATTTTCCTTTTCCTTCGGAAAAAGTAATATGAAACTAGTGGATTATTTCTGAATGTGTGATGTAAGTACTTCTTGCTTTTGAATCTTTCTCCCATCCCCTGCGTCTTCCTTTTACTTCGTCTCTTCGTGTTATTTTTTTTGTATTCCGCGTTTCATAGTGTTCGTTTTGTGTTGAAACTGCTCTCGAATAAAATAAACACCTAGGCTAACTAAATATAAAGTATGTTACCTGAAAAAAACACCCAAGAAGGCTGCACTAGCAAACACATGAGCGTATCACTTTGCATGAATGTACATCAATTCTCGACACAATACAATGACACAGAAAAATGGCGAAGTTAATTTTTTAAAAATGCACCAAGATTTTTTATATACACGGGTTACCATTTTAGCCTGAAATTTTAGTCGTGTGTGTTTTGGGTGAGAAGATTCGCCGTCAGCCGCTAAATATCTGCTGAGTCGAGAACATAATTTTATTAAAATGACTACTTGACTACTTTTGGAATTTTAATATTTGATACCTTAACTGCAAAGTTTCAGGTAGTTGAAATCCTGAAACTGACATTCTGATTAACATATATTTTGAAATATCTTCGAGAAACCTTTGAACACATGTTTCTCGATCTTCCAGATTTGTGTACTAAATTTCAAAAGACATAGGTTGATTACCTATGAATGAACCATCTTTTGCTACATTCAGTGTAACATCTATATAAAAGGTACCGATTCGGCTGAAATGCTAAGCTTTTGTGCCTCGAGGCAATCTGTAAAATGAAAAAAGGAGGTTCCTTCTGATACATGTCAGATCTGGTTGCTAAAATGTAAGCTCATTAAAAGTATTTCTGACCGTACACATTTATTAAAATCAAATTATTCTCACAATTTGTCCGCTGAGCACAATCACCTAGCTGTAACTAGGTGTTACTTATAACTATCAGAAGCCGTTAAAAGTGAGATGTTACTCAATCCAGGTCTTTAGTGCTCGATATACATTTTTATACTGGATGATAATTGAAGGTGAAATGAAGATTTGTGCTGTGGAATGGGTACCGGGTTTCCTGCCCGGTGCTCTACCAACTGACCAGTGTCAATACTATTCCGCCAAACGGCTGTTATCTCAGATAGTCAAACTGACATGTTTATATTTTGAAGCCCAATATCTTATCTGATTACGTATCGAGTTGTTGACTGTATTGATGCACCCTTCATCAGTTGAATGTTGGTGTTTCCCTGTTTTCTGCAAAATATTTAAAATATGCAAAATTCTATTTTAGAAATGGGAAAAAAGGAAGATGAACAAGCCGTTAGTGGCACGAGACCACTTTTCCAGAAGGCCTTGGACATACATAAAAGTCACCCCACTACTCAAGTTCATAAAGAAAAACGTCGTAAAAACAATTATAGGGAAATTAGCAAATTTGCTAAATTCAAACAGAATGACGATGCGAACGTCGATGTCTTTCAAGAGCGATTAAAGCGTCAAAGACGTATGAACTTGCTAGAAAAACAGTTGGCCAAAGAACATAGTGTAAGCAGCTTTTTTACTGATTTAGTATGTTTTTATGATCATTCAGGTATTTTTGTGTTGAAAGTATATATTTATATTTTCAAATGAGATTTTATATGAGCAGTGTTGTATCACTTTGTTGTGTAAATATTGAGCTATGTTTGTAAACAAGATTTTTCTTTCCAAAATATTGAATGTACTTGTGTTTTGTTAATAATTGGCAGTTGTATCCTAATCCCAATTCTGCCAATATTGAAGTTCCTGATTGGTGAGATAGACATGTATGAAGATCTTTGAATTTTGTAGTAAGTTTCCAACAAATTATTAGTTCCTGTGTGACTAACGTTTTTACGTTTTGAGGACCTAATAAAACTGACTGTAGTGATGAAGTTGCATCTCACTCTTTGGTTAAGTTGTTCAGCAACTTAGCGTCATCGTTTTATTTTCGATGGCATAAAGTCAGCTAAACCACATGATTGCAGTAATAAACTTCTTCCTAATGTTTATGTTAATAATGTCCAGAATGACAATTAAATCATCTACCTCATCCATCAGAAATCACTTTGAATCATTTTAGTTGCGCTGTAAATATTAATTAGGCGTGGTTACATTTGATCAAGCTAGGGGCTTGTGTAAGATCTAGTGAAAAACACTCAGTAGCTATGATTTCAGTGATAATGGTTCCGAGGACAATAGAACTCGTTTGAAATGAGAACAACAAAGGTGGTGTTGTCTACTAAGAATTTTATATAGAGATATGGGTTGAAAAAAACAAAAACGTTCTGCGTTATTTTCACCGATGACTACATTATCAACACCCTGACCGATAGCTGCTACCTTGACATGGTGGTCGGGCTCGCCTATAACAATGACGCAACAAGCCATGCTGATGGGACGCTTGTTCCCTCTAGATCCTACCATATCAGTAAGATCTGTTAGATAGTGATTAGACAAAAAGCAGTTACCATTATAGTGTAAATTGCTACGATATGATGGGGTTGTGAGGGCGAAATCGTACTGCTGACTGGATGGGTGTGTGTGTGTGCGTGACAGCATTAGGGTGTTTTCGTTAGATAACCAGCGGTACCACTCTATTGCTGCCTTTCTTATGGGAATTGGAGGGGGGGGGGCGAAGATAAAAGGTCGGCCTCCGAAAGAAGACACTCCCATATGTTTGTGTCATCCCGATGCCTGTAACAGAGATTAATAGTCGGATTCGAAAGCAGAAACCGAAATGTCAAACTTGCCAATAGACTGTGCGTGGTCGGCTTCAAGCACATTGGGCTCCGTCTCCACGCGCAAACGCTTCTTTTTCAGATATTTCAAGATGAACTAGTCTCCCACTGTATAGGAAATCGTGAAGTGTCAGCCGCCCTCACAAGTCTGTCGACACTCGAACTCCTGGTCTCTATCCACCTCCCTTATCCATATCTTCTAATCTTCCTTCATGTGTCTCAGTCAAGTATTTTACATCATCTTTCATTTCTCTCAGTTCAGCTGCTGTTGACAGCGCTCTGAGTTCACAGAACAGCATCCCTGGTCTCTTCAAACCGCGCTCCGATTCACACATTGAAGCTTTCAATATCCGGACCCTTCGACAGATTGACCAGTAAGCTTCACTAGCCAAAACTTCAGGAACTCAGAGAATTGATGTGTTCTGTGTTTGTGAGACACGTATACAGGACCGAAGTCTGGTCATTCACTTATCTTCACCCAGCCAATATGGGGAATCCGCTAAATTCACCTTTCGCGTTTCTACGGAGTCAATGGACAGTTTTCGGGGTTTTGCGGGTGTAGTTACAGCATTCATCACTAAGGCGAGAAGTTCTCGGCTCCTCTGCATCCCAGATGACAGTCGCCTGTACGCTGTTTAACTGAACGGCACTGTGAGGACAGAGAGAAATAGTTATACTCGACGTTGTCTACTTCTTATTCCTGCTTACTCACCCACCCGACTGCAGTTATAATCAATAAACGTAGCACTCAGTAACATAAAACCGAGAAAAGGAGGCAGGTTTCAGGTCTGGTCATGGATATGTCGATCGGATATTCACTCTTCACCAGGTTCTGGTATACAGATACACTTTCCGATTACCAACACTGGCTGTATTTCTCTACGTGAAGTCCTTCGACTCCATGGACCGAGAGGTCTTATGGTAGTGCCTCACTGAAACGGGTGTTGAGTAAGTACATTATCTTTTTGAAAAGTCCTTATTCGGTACACCCATGGGTGAGTTGTTAGGCGAGCTATGCTCATCAGGTTTTGTCTGTTAGGGATGCTCACCCTCTCCACTTCTTAAAAATTTATCATAAATGTTCTTAGGGAGGTCACTCCCCCACCACCTGACATCACTGGGACTGACCTAATCACAGAAGAATCTTTGGTAGATCTAGCAAACGCAGATGATATAGTTGTGTTAGGTCAAGATGCCAACACCTTGAGTGGCAATTTGAGAATATTTAGGATGCGTTTCTCGCTACCCGACTGCAAATTGTTGCTCCAGGACTGGTCTTCAGCAGTGCCGTATCTAACGAGAGAAAGTGGAGCTGTTGAGCGCGCTGACCGCTTCACTTACCTGAGAATTCAGATCAGCCATGGTGAGGTCAGTAGCCGACGAAATCTACGCACGGGTACTAAGAGTTCGATTGGCTTTCGAAAATTCACGCCATCATTAGCGCCGCTGCGATACCCGATTGCATATTATAGGCCCAGTGTACTATGCTGCAGTTCGCTTTGTTCTACTGTATGACCGTGGAACATGGTCATTGAAGGTAGATGACATGAGAAGGCTTCATGTATTTGACCACTGTTGCCTTTGTAGCATAGGCCGAGTTTCTCAGTATCACCAGGTGAGTAACGCAGTAGTCAAGCGTAGAGTTTTAGGGAGGAGAGGTAAGTCAGTTTATGTGGTTGTGAACCTTCATCTACTGAGATGGCTGGAACATGTTTTATGCCTTGTCACCGTCTACCTGGTCATGCAATGTTAGCTCAAGTGGGTTTAGGTTGGGAAAAAAGTTAGGGATGAGCAAACTAAGACATGGCATCACCGCATGGAGTTTTTGGTTGTTGGCATGAGCCTTATTTGGAGATGCAGACTAGCCAGTTGTGGCGTGTGTGTGTGTGTGTGTGTGTGTGTGTGTGTGTGTGTGTGTGTGTGTGTGTGTGTGTGTGTGTGACAGCAGAAAGTAGGGGTCGGAACTTCTAGGTAACATGTCTCAGAATCGATGCTAGTGGCTCAGATGTATCCACACTTTATCTACATCTTAACCACTATTCTGTACTCGTTATTTTCTCACTCTTCCATCCTCTCTTTTACTACTTTCTACTGCTTTTGACCTATTTTTCTTCAACCTTCATCTTACTACGTTGTTATTTGTTGTGGTGTTATGAGGTATGACAACTTGGACCATTGTACGGTGATGCCTGGTCCTATATTGGTATTGTTCGATTGTCATTGTAGGGAAACAAAACTTATCTCCTTCCATATTTCTAATAAGAGTCACATTCGTCCTATCTATCTAGTTGGGTTTAGGTATCTTTTGAATCGATCAAAGTAGTTCTCATTACTTCTTTTTTGACTTTATTTTCTCTAAACTCTTAGTTCGATTGTTGACGTATATTTGTCTGTTACTACTTTTATCTGTCTCTCTTTTTCATGGATTAAAAGCAAATTGTCTTTATTTTACTCATGGCGTTCATCCCTTACTGGTAAAACTTCTACAGGTGCAGTCACTTGTTGTAGAATTCTTCCCTTCCCTTCCCAGTGGTAGAAAAATTTCTCTTAGGAAGTTTTTCTGCCACTGCAGTCATTACAAAATTTCATGTTAGTAATTATGCACTTCGCCTTGTATTCATTTTTCAACTAAGTTCATAAAACGATCATTGAATTTAGGTCCAGACATCTGATCCTGCAGATGGAAAACTAGGTGATGGGTTTTGTGTTCCTGGTTCCATTTGGTGCCGGTTATTTGATTACCAACGAAAAGGTGTCAGCTGGCTGTGGAGTCTTCATCAAAAGGGATGTGGTGGTATTGTTGGAGATGAGATGGGATTGGGAAAAACTATACAGGTTGGTTTTATTCAGTTACTTTGAGTGCCTATTCAACATGCCAATGTCCATTATTTTATTGTTGTTAAAACTAAGCTGTACCGTGAGCACTCTCGATAATGCTGACTTAGAATATTGTTGTCATCATCAGTGACAGATTATTTAGTGAGTTAGTAAACACATGCAAAATTACTCACTAGATTGTAACTTACACCCTTTGTACGCTAGGGTGAAGATGCTATCGGACTAGTTCCTGTAGTAGGTAGCGTAAATTTGAAATCACACAGGTTTCTTCTAAGAATAAGTAACCTGATATTATTAAATATTAAATAATGAACAGAGAGTGACACTCAATATATCACTATCTAACAAATATCATTGTTTAATTTCACTCGTGGACTATTTGCCTGGGAACTGGGAACTAGGTAGACGTTGAATGTGGATTATAATTCCTAGCAACTTTAGTTCATCTATTGTTTCTTCCTTACTTAGCTTTCAATTCGAACTGTTTGATCAGTTAAGTATTTCCGTTCTCTGAATTATCTGATGTAATTTGTGTTTTGAGTTCCCGTTTTCCTTTTTCCCTTGACTGTCTAGAATCGATAGGTAATTATGTTCTCAAAAGCGTTTGCTGGCTGACGCAACAATTAAACACGATAAACTCTAAGACAGCTGTCAACTAGCATTTCACTTTTTTAAGAAGCAAATGTTTTCTGCTCTTTAGTTGCTAACCTCAGTTTGCATAAACGTTCAAATATATCACTTTATATGCTTTGAAATGTGTATTTGATAGTAGATCATGGGAACACAGGCGTAATATGATTTCTAAAGTCATTTTAAAGTAACACATGAATACTCTTTTGCTCTGTAATAAATGTCACACGTTAGAAATGACACACTTAATCTTTACTTCAATTATCACTTCAGATTATTGCATTATTAGCCGGGTTGCATCACTCTAAAGTTGAAGATAAATCCCATCGTTCATACCTATCTGCCTGTAACTCAAGTTCAGAAGCTCAACAAGAGTAAGCGAAGTTTTCATATTGAAGATTTCTAGCGTACATGTTTGTCGTTTTTATCGAACCATTAGATGCTAACACATTTTTTCTTAACGAGAATGTTTTTTGTATTGGCCTTATTAAAACTTTGACCTAAATGACCTTAAATTAGGGAAGTAATAAAATATGTTTTTCATATTTTCGGAGCTTATCGGAATATTTATTGAGCTTGTTTACTGTTGTTGACTTTTTGCGTTTGTTTGCATTTATCCCTTAGATATTAATACACTTGATACTACTTGTAATCAGCGGGTTCAGGCTAATTTAAGTTGTTTCCATTTCCTAATACTTTGGATGTAAAATGACTCACTGTAGCAGGATAAAGATATGTTTATGAGAGTTACGTCAAGCAGTGGCTAGAGCTATAGGGATTATTTTTAATGAGCGAAAACTTCGCCTGTAATAAATTATTTAATGATTGTGTACTACATGATTTAGTGACTAGATCTTAGCCGAAGCGTTTTTTAAGTGCTCATAGGGCTCAACCAATCGAATATGTGGGACACTACGGTGCACTATGTTTAAGTATGAATTTTCATGAATCAGTTAGCGGTAAAGATTTGACCCTGGGTATTTGCTTGTTGGCGTTCAATAACAAGGTAGATTTGGCACCCTTCACTTCGCAGTAATAGTGTCAGACAGAAAAGATCAACACAGAACCTTGCATAGAAAGACATCAGTTAAAGTTACTACACTTCACAGCAGCATGCAAGGTACAGGTGTACAGAAAATTCATCATCAATATCAACATAGAACCAGGCATTACTGCGTAACGATTCAAGTTGCCACACCTCATATTAGCACAACAAGATGAAAGATAAACAAATAAAAACGAATCGGTCAAAAGCAGTAGGAACTACTAAAACAAGGGGAGGAGAAATAAAGAAAACTATCTGTCCAACCTGTGCCACTAACCTTGGTTCTAAACCACATCACCTATTCTACAACTACCGGCTTTGATTGTCATGAGAAGCCCAACCAGGAAGTTTAAATTCCTTTCACACGATTACAGTCAATAATCAAAGATTTCATGCACTAATGTCATTTTATAATCTGACCATCTCTAACGATTCTTCACTCCGAACATTTTTCAGCCAACAACATACGGTGAAGGAGATGGTGACTAGGGATACGTAACACATGTCTCAGCTACCTAAGTCGATAAAGGTTCACGACCGACACTAAAAAATACCGTCTCGTTTTCATAAGGAAGGCAGCATCAGCTAGCCATTACTGGTCATCTGCGGGAAACACGCTGCCGTTCAGTCAGCAGTACGATTTCGCCCCAGAGTCCAACTTTAATCTAGCGGTTCACACTGTAATGGTCACTGCTTTTTTGCCTTACCAGACCTTTCTGGTATGGTAGGACCTCGAGGAACCAAGCGTTCCACCAGAATAGCTCGTCAGGTCATTGTGATACGCGAGCCCGACGACCACGTCTAGGGAGCAGCTATCGGTGGCACGGAGTAAAGCCGTATGATACATACCATACTACAGAGACAGCTGATCGAACACGGAGATTCATCTCATATCCTAAACACATAAAGGCTGAATCCGCAGAGCTGCCACGATAACATTCTAAAATATTTCAGCGGGAAATATATTGCAACAGCACGTTAAACAGGAATTTCTTTATTCCTAATTCAATGAGCAATGATTAACTACGCTAACTAATTGATACACACGACAAAATTCTCCCAGTCAAATACTTACCAAGTTATCAGTTGTTGAAAGCACTTTTACCACCCCATTTGAGCAATCCAAACTCATTATATGTTCAAAGAAATCCAAACTGAGAAGAGTCAATTTGAAGTCAAAGGTTATTGTCAATAGGCAAGCTTTAGAAAAACTCAAAAATGAATACATCTGCGTCACCGCAACTGATTTTCAGCCATTTCACCAAGAGTCTTCAACCGTTGATTCCTTCGGTTTCAGGGATCCCAGCCAGGTATGTGTTTCACTTCCCCAGAAAAATATGCTCTGAATAGCCTAGTCACCAAGTTGCTATGTGAAACAGTTACAGTCGTGACAGAAACTAAGCCAATATAGAACCTCATATAGAAGTGAGCTGGTTAAAGTTTTCACAATTCACAGTAGCATACAAAGAGCAAGTAAGTATGGAAACACTGATAACAAGCCAGACATGTATTCCAGAGAAGGAAAGATCATAAAATCGATGTTAGTGCAAATGCTCGAATTACCGAAGAAGTGAAAGAGTAAATACACCTGGAAATTTATGACTGACTTCCAACCGTGTCACCAAGAGTTTCCAGCCACTGCCTCCTATAGTCTTGAGGACCCCAGTCAGCTGGTCTATACCACTTACATAGTTCAAACCAACCGTCCGAGACTTCATAGATTGGTATCACGTCTTGGTTCCGCAACCCTGAACCGTCTTCTAACCAAATACTACTTCAACTGACATTCCACATCCAGGTAGGTGGTGGCTCAGCATGCACAACACATGTCCAAACCACCTGAGTTGGTGGAGGTCCACAACCTCATTGCCTCACTTTCCTTCCTTGTCCAGTGCCCTCCGCCTAACCCCAACATCGCTCACACCGTGATTCCACCATACGTGAGCAATGCTACGAAAACACTTGTCGTCAAAAACTGAAACTGTTTCACATCTACTTTCAACGGTTATTTCTGGCAACCTTATGAACGGATTGCAGCACAGTACACTCGTCCTTCGACAGGTAGAGTTGGATATCTCGCCAGTCGGCGCCCCAGATGACGCCAGTTGGCAAATGCTAAACAAGCCTTCTTTATCGGATATGAGATTTCGTCAACAAACAGCCCGTTCGGTGGGCTGATGCAACTCCCCAAATAAGTGAACTGGTCAACCCACTGTTACACTTCAATCCCTATCCTCAAATTGAAAGTAACTGCACACTAGTCCTGAGGCGTCATATTACATTTGACAGGTGCGAAATGCATGCCAAACAGTCAGATTTCTGCTCAATGGATTTTGTCAGCGTCTTCACGTAACGGGACTATCATCTAAATACTCCAAGTCAACCGGGTGCCCTTTGGGGAGTAGGTCAATCCCTATGAAATCATGGGTACATCAGTACATCGATAAAGAAATTCAACAAGAACGATGATAGTGGGAGTCCCTGATGACAACTCTCCATAAGCACTTACACGACTGCAGAAGTTCAAGTAAACAGCTCTGATTAGCCTTACATACTCGCTCGGGACTGTCCTCACAGACAGACACTGCCACAACACCTCACGGTCAAGGTCAAGAGAGTCAAGTGCTGACTTCAGGTCAAGATATGTCAGCATGTGGACGCCACCATTAAGTATGCCTTTGCTTATAACTTGAAGAACAGTGAAGATGTGGTCGGTGCACCCTCTTCCAGGTCTGAAATCTGTCTGGTTCTCTCGAGCTCCAGTTAGGATTTTGTACACCATGGTAGTCAAACTGATTCCCGTATAGTTGTCACAAGATGTCCATTCTTTCTTATAGACTGGATTGATCTATGACGTAGTTCAATCTTACGGAACTAACACTGATTCCTACACACTATCCAGTTCTTACTTTGATCCATTCAGTGATTTGCTACGAATTTTTTTCTTCAGCTAATGACATCTAGGAAAACTATAGAAAAGAGACCATTGCAGGTGGAAGTGGACAATGAAAACATTGAAGCTACACTCACTGTTAAAACAGCTAGGCAGATATTTGAATAGAACTACATCGCTCATCCAGAATAAGCCTGACACAATCTGCGCTATGTTGTGAAAACAATGTGAACGGCCATGTTTAACATTCGGAAACTGGTTAGGAGAGGTCAGTGAATCTCAGCAGCTTCTTGTGAATAAACAGATGCTTACAAAAGCATTCTTGCAGGTTCCAAGCCTAATGATGAGTGAATGCAACTTGAACGTAAACTGACAAAAGTTTACGCAATGACCACGAACAGCGTTGGGCAGCAACGGTTAAACAGAGGGAGAAAGTGGTGGCAATGAGTAACAGTAGACATTTATATAGACTTGTTAGGGAAACTGGGATGAAAAGTCAGTAATTAGAGAGACTGTGGCGAAGAGGAATGGATCTGTGATTCCTTACTCTCAGAGGCGGCGACTAGAACAATGAATGAAACACTCCAAGAAACAACTCATCTGACGTCCAGCTACTATGTCGTTGCTACTTTCCAGTCAGATCCTGAATGAAATATCGGGATAGGCATAGAAACATTTACAGAAGTCGAGGAAGTTGTAGGTAACCTGCAACGAGAAAGAGCAGCAGGAACAATCGGACTAGTACCAGAGTTATTTGAGGACGTTGGTTGAGAAATATTGGTCAAATTGACTGAGCTGTTATCTTATATGCTAAACGGCATTATTTTGTATGAGATAAGAAAGGAAAATTCCTGAAGTGCTGAAAATCAAGGAATAATAATCTGATTTTGACTGATTATTTCGATTACTGGATAATTGTTTAATTTTGCCTGCCATCGATTACGGAAACATACTATAATTGAGTGATCCAGTAATTCATAATTTAGTATTGTAACAATTTCGTCTATTGTATATATTTCTGAATATGGGTCATCAAATGTCGGTACGATGTCTGTGTGAAGTTCTTCTATGTAAATCCGACCGGACAGAGTTCTGGGCAAACATGAATTTCGCCTCGGTGTTGCGGACTCAAGTTGTAAGCTAATTTTATGACTAATTTCTACTTCATACCGTAAATATGTGAACGGGTTAGACCGTCTATGCAGAATAAATAAACAAATATCACCTTGAAACATATCATTCCCCAAAAACCAAAATGATTTTTTGTCTGCTACTTGCGACTGACTTGATTCGAAATGGGTTTCTCGATGTTTTAATAAGTAGCCCTGACGTATAGTATCAACCAAGTTGGAAGTGAAGCGGATACACACTGATGACATTGGATGATGTTCGTGCTTTGTCCGGAATTGACAAAAGTAGGATAAAAGCAATTGATA